GCTCGTCAGTCGGTCTCCGCTTGACTGTCGACCACCACTCGCCGCTCGTCAGTCGGTCTCCGTTTGACTGTCGGTCACCACTCGCCGCTCGTCAGTCGGTCTCCGCTTGACTGTCGGCCACCACTCGCCGCTCGTCAATCGGTCTCCGCTTGACTGCCGACCGCCGCTCGTCGCTTGCCCTTCGGTCTCCGCTCGACTGTCAGCTACCACTCGCTACTCGTCTGTCGGCCTTCTCTAGTCTCTCGGCCGATGCTCCTCGCCCGTTCGTCGGTCTCCGCTTCGCTGTCGGCCTTCTCTCGTCCGTCGGCCGATGCTCCCCGCTCGTTCGTCGGTCTCCGCTTGACTGTCGGCCTTCTCTCGTCTGTCGGCCGATGCTCCCCGCCTGTTCGTCGGTCTCCGCTCCACTGTCCGCCACCACTCGCCGCTCGCCTGTCGGGAGCTTTCTCAATGTTTGTAACCGTACGTGCGGCCTGGTTCTGTCCGAGTGTGTTGATCCTTTGTATGCACTGGTTCATGTCCATGGTTAGGGGTGATCCTTACCCAAAAGCTTATCCTGAGAATGCATGATTTGCGGATTTAAATACTCTCGCCTTTAGCTTACCTAACGCCCAGACCCCAGGCGATCGCATTTTAAATCGCTGGAGGTTAAGCATGAGCGTACATCTCCCCAGGTAGGACGGCGGCGCGATGGCTGGGGATATGAAAGCGGTGCTCACGCAGGAAGGCTGAGAGTCTAGCGCTGGTCTGACGTCCTGTCCGCTCAGCTTAAATCTTTTGAGTCCATCTGAGATTGACCTAGACCGCGATGAGCCTTGTCACTCTCCAGATTAGTTCATGAGACGTGCATGTTGTCATGTATAGAGAAGAAACAAAAACACAAGGAAGCCAATGCATTTCGTAAGAAAATAAAAGTGTCGTTGGACGCGAGTCCTTGATATTATATTAGCTCCACGGACACGAATCGAAATCGAAATAGTCGAAAACTGCCGTGCCTGGCTGCACAGGGTAGTGAGACCTGACCCACCTTCCAAATCAATCGTCATATCAGTCATAATATTAGTTTGGTCACGTGTGGGGGAGGGGGGGGGGGCATTGGCTACAAGGATACCTAGATCACACTTGTCTCCTCCTCTGTACGAGTTCTTGGCTACGCTACTGATTGACCAATTGTATTCGCCAAGTAATTGAAACGGTGAGTGGGCTTCGTAAGGGCACTTGACCTCATGAACAGGTGATAGCTAAAGAGAGTTACATAAAAGCAGCGCTTTGATATGGTCACCGCTGGCTTTTGTCGAAACACAGGTATTACAAAGCACTGACGACTTTTTAGTGTACAAGGTAAAAGACACATTCTAAAACAAGGTCCGTTTAGCTACTGTGAAGGAAGCAAGCAATGTAGTACGTGATTCTCTCTTTTAAGCTAAATTCCACATATTCTCTTTGCAAAAATACCATTTCAGTGCCGCATCTTCCCTAGCTTGAAACGTACGGCGCGAGATTGGATGTCTATTTTCCATATTGCCCAGAAATTTGTTTTCGTTTCGACGTTGGCTTGGAAATGGCTACTGCCATGAAAGAACAGCAGAATTTGGTCCTGAGATTCATGAAACTACAGAGGGCATGAACAATTCACAAACAGCTTTTAAGGAGGCTAAAAGTCTTTGGAGCTATCAACCAACTTTTCCGAGTCGAATGTCGTTAGCAGGTGTGGGAGTTCAGAGACGGTGGGCAGAGCGTGTGGAAGGAGTCAAGCTGCGGGAGATCCGTGCCACAGACTGACCCCGCTCATGCGACCCAAGTGGAGGTGAAGATGATAAAAGGTCGCTATGTGATGATCAACCAGATAGGTCAGAGCCTCGGTTTGACTAAAGCGCCAGTCCATCCTATCCTTCATAATCAGCCGAAGGTGTCCAGAAGTGGCTGAAGGTGAATGCCGAGGCAGCCAACCCGTGAACGGAAGAAAGAGAGGCTCAAGTTGGGACGGGAGGGTGTGCGACGATGCCAGGAGGAGGGAGACTGATTTCTGGAATCAACTGCCACCGCAAATGAAAGCTGGTGTACGCTGTTTAACCCCAGAGACTAAGATGCAGTCGGTGCAGTGGAAACACGCAGACTCACCACCTCCCAAAAAGTCGAGTGCAGGTGTTTCCCAAAAAGGTGACATACGCCATAATTCGGGACCAAGAGAGCATAACATTAGCATACCCTGTTTCCAAAGTTGTCGATGTACGAAACCGTCCTCAGTGTCTTATCTCCTTTGGCCATCACCGAGCATCGTCAAGGGAAGCCACGCGGCCGGTTCGTTCCTCACCGTGACAACGCCTCGCCTCATCGTGCCGCTGTTGTGACTGAATCTCTGCCTGATAGCGTCATTGAGCTGCTGAAGCACCTGTCGTTCTCTGCGGGCCTTGCACCAGGTGACTTCTGGTTGTTCCCTCTAAAGAAAGATCGCTTTCGTGGGCACCGTTTCTCATTACGGTCTGCACTGGAATCGGCCATATTCCAGTAAACCACACGTGCTTCGTTCAGAGCTCCGGTGAAAAGACATATATATATATATATATATATATATATATATATATATATTTGGTGAATATAGATCCAGTAATTGTGAGTGCAACCATGAAACGTCCCGCTGGGAACGCTGCGTTGAAAACCAGGAAAAATATGTACAAAAAATGAGCCATCGGTAATGGGTGTATACCAATAAATGCGCTGTGCCGTGGCCAACGGACCTTACTTTTGGGGCGCAACAGTGCCATACCTGTTTCAACAAAGTTAAAAAAGAAGCAATGCACTGTTTTGTTATGTCGCTTAATAACCTACGAGACAGAAAGCAAAGAGGTGTTATTTTAGCCACATATGTTCCTTGCAGATGTGCTTGAACAACCTGGGCTAATAACTTGACTTAAAAACAACTTGGGCTGCTTGGATTGTCCTGCAAGGCTAAGCACATCAGGTTATTGCCTTTTTCACATGGAAGGCAATAGATATTCGCGAGTTTGCCAGCCACATTGTCACCTAACCACGTTGTGGTGGAATTACCTCAACCGCCAGTCGCAATACTGCCTGTTCTTCAACGAAATGTAAAAAGCCCACCACTGCCGGTCAACGAATAATTGGAACAACGTGACCAACCGTCTTTTGGTTCAAGGAAATAATCAGCAAGAAAGATCCGACTTCAATGACAGTTATCTTCACCGCAGAGCAAAAGAACGGGTTCGCATGAACTGGCAGCTGTCACACAAAGCACGGCAACGCGACGCGTTTACGTCTATACCCGAGTCTGGACGAAGCACAGGCTGAGTGCTTCTAGTTTCGGCGCTGCTTCCCGAGGTTTGTCTGTGTATTTGTCTGTGCATTAGTATGTCATTCATCTGTTTGTCAACTATTATTTATCACCTGTTTGTCGTATAACCAGTAACAACTCATTTCCAATGCTGTCACTCTTACAACAGTAGTGGCATGACATTGGTGTTACGGTGAAAACTCCTACTGACAGGGGTGCTGCGGCACCAATTACACGGGACATTACTTCTTCTGCGAACGTTATACAGACTTTGCTTACACGGGGCATTACTTCCATGGCAAAGACTTATACCTCATACTACAAAGAATTATACACAACATGAGCGCTACACGACAAGATTAAAAAGTTATACTCACCATTACCCCCACTGCAAAAACTTATACTCCGCTTAAACGCGGCATTACTTCTGCTGCAAAACTCATACACAGCATGAGTGCTACTCGATAAGACTTATCCTGCAAAACCTTGTACTCAGCATTACTTTAAAAGTAAAGACTAATGCAATCTTGAATTATACGCGACACGACGTCTGCTGTACAAACTCAAATACGACATGAGCACCAAACGGCATAGCTTACGCTGTAAAAACATATACCAGTTATTTCTTCTACAGCAAAGACTTCATCACATCAAGTCTCTGCTGCATCACTAATGCCGCGCGAGCCTGCAGTAGAAATGGCGCAGTGTAGAAGCAATGGCTGTCTATGTTTTTGCAGCAGAAGCAATGATGAGCGTATATTTTTGAAGCAAGCGTTTTGTCGAATAGCGGTAATGCCGCTTATAGGTTTTTGCATTAGAAGTAATGACTCTTTAAATGTTTGCAGTAAGATTGATCACTGTTTAAGTCTTTGCAGCAACACAATGGCATGCATCAGTTTTTGCAGCATAAGCTTTGTCGCGTAGCGTCGTGTTAGTGACACTAACGTCGTGGTATTGGCAGTAGCAGTAGTGTCGTAGCACTCCTGCCGGTAGGGGTTTTCGTAGTAGCACTCCTGTCGGTAGGAGTTTTCGTTGTAGCACTAATGCCGTGGAGCTCACTACAGCGCAGGTCTGCGATTTTGTGAACGGAATGCACCGCCTACATTCTGCAGTGAATCACTGCGAATCACTGAAGACCGCACGTCGCCATCCTCGGATTTGATTAGGGAGATAACGATTTTACAGCTTCGTCATTCACCTACCGTAAGGAAGATAGTGTGCACCAACGCTGCCTGGGGCATGGTGGGCCACGGCTCCGCCAACGTGATGAGATCTCTTACGTGGGTAGGCTGTGCCATTGGTGATGATTTATCTCCACATACCTTATTTGCTGATGCGTACGATTTCGAAGAAATGGATATGCTGTGCACATGCAGAGACGAAAGAAAGCACCCCCAGATTGTGTTCAATCCCGAGCTCGTTGAATTACGGGGGGGGGGGCGGGGGGGGGGGACAAAAAGTGACGAAGGGTGCGGAATGTCGGGAAGACTGCGGGACGCTGCATACCGACTCAGAACGCGCCAGTGCGTGGATGGAGGACACTGACAGCCAATATGACAACGGCCATGCACATACATCTAAACAGCACGAAGGCGCGGATAAAATGGACAGCCACCCGCCGGGCAAAAAGCGGGAATCCTCTTAAGGTAGCTTCACGGCGCGCAAGCAGGTGACGCTGAGATGAGGAAGTGTTACGTACCGCGAGTCTTACCTTGGCTGATAAACACGTCATAGTAGCTGAGCAGATTCGCGTGCTGTAGCACGCGGTACAGCTGTAGTTCCGACTCGTTGGTCGGCTGTGACGTCATCGTCACTGCAACATAGGGCGGTCCGGTCACGGAATGGCCGTGCGAGGCTGCATCCCCGCCGGGGGTGGCACGGGGTCGAGCGGGCTTCACTCAGCCCATGGCACGGGATCGTGCCATGTCGCCCAGTGAGGTGACTGCTAAACCGGGCTATTGGGTGGTATCACCCTATGCACATACATATCACAGAGTTCTGCCCGAGACAGGTAAGTCAGTCCCTTCGAAAGTGGGACAGACCATCCTCGTTACGCTGCAGTAAGCATCTCCGTGCTCCACCATGCCCCAGCCTCGCCCGGAAAGGAGATCACAGCGCACTAGGCCTCGCAACGCGTTCGTGTTCATGCTAAAATCAAGACGATCTACGAGTCAACCGGATCAAAAGGTATCATAACGTGACAGATCGTCGCCCTGTTGGAGGCGAACCAAGGTAGCCAATGAGGCAGCGCTCGACCTCGGCCCGTGGTAGAAGATTATAGGTTCGTACATAGCGCATTCAGCAAAAGACATCCCTCAGCATAGCGGCAGCATACTCAAGACCAGACAACCCAAACCAACGCGGCTCTGTTTTAATGCTACCTAATTCAGCTCGGTGAATTACAGGAACGTCCGTGATGCACGCACTCCAGTGCCGGCACTCGTGACACTGCCACCCTCAAGTTGCCAAGGAATTTAAGGACGATAGTGGGCTGAAATCGCACGCCTTGCCGCATGCGGTAAAATCCTGGCAAGGTGTGGTTCATATATTTTTGCAGCGTGGCCAGAACAAAGGTTTGCAGGGCGATTTAAAATGCTCTGCAACTTCAGACTTTTAAAACATTGCCTGCGGTTGCCATTCTAACAAGGCAAAAACGATAGGCTTTGAAACCGAACAAAAATCTGCAAACTTTGCAGCATGACACTATATCCAGCTCTCCTCTCAGCGCCTCTACTATGATGCCAGATGATAACGTCCAGAGCCAGGATGTGGGAGCATGGACTTTAAGAGAAGAGGTCGTTTTTCTCAATAATTCCTGGAAAAGTAGCTGGAGGCGAATTATCCTTGCCTCCCCACCATAACTGCTGGGTATTGAGATACCACCACCGAAGGACATTTAACATGGCATCGTCAATCGTCAGGTGACGGAGATTTTGTTGGTGTTTTTTTTTTTTTAGCTGAAAGACACGACATGCATGGTGACATTTTCATAGGTCTACTGGAGGCTGATCGAAATTGGGGCCTCATCATCTGGCGAGATTGAACTTTCCTTCAAAGTTGGAGACGGGTAAAAATTACGGCATCCCATCATGATCAACAATACTAGACATTTAGCTATTTTACAATTCACACAACCGCCATTACTAAAGCAGCGCGATAACTTTTTGACGCAGCATTTTAATGGACAGTCGTCAACCTAACAAATACGGTAAACCGCCTTGGAGCCGCGTTAGCCCTGCGACACTTGCAAACCTCATTCTGGGTTGTCCTGTAGGTGCCGGGCAAACGCAAGACAAGCGCAGCAGGTTGATAATGAAATATGCCCTTATTGCAGTCGAGATATTATTGCATTCACCACATTGGAGCGCCATCTTGTTTCATATTCCGTTTCCAGCAGCCTTGTTGACAGGACTCCTGTCATTTTCAGCCTGGCCTTCCCATCCACCGAACAGACTGCGACGCCCTCCATTTGGAGTTCGCCGGCCGCACGGAAGATGTGGCCGTTGTCATACCAGACCAACAGATGAGGTCTGGCCACGGTCTCGCCGCTATCCTCGGACCCTGATCAGTGCTCGGCGGTCTCCCACCAACAGAGCGGACACTGTCTGCAGCCCCTCTCTCCCTCTGGTTCCCCTCCTTCTCTGGTCCCTCCTCGCCACCTCAGCTCGACGGATCAACACTGCCCGTCGCCCGCCGCAGCCCTGTTGCTGCGGTCACCCACGACCCCAGCGCCGACGCGCGCCACCTCCGGTCTGGGATTCCGGCGCGCTTCAACCAGTCTGCTCGGATGACGTTTTAACGTGCGGGGGTCTTACGGCCAGTCTGAAGGTGGGGAACAACGACCTTTGTTTTATGATACGTTATTTATGAACCCGGTCCTAATAGTTGTGCTACCGACATGTAATCTCGAAACGACCACGATTTCGAACCAGACAGATATATTTGACTTCGAAGTCAAACAGAATAGAGTCAGTACAGATGTTAATTGTTTACAATATGTACATATGTACATGTACATGTACGTTGTCACTTTTAACCTGGGTTATAACCCGACCCGTTCACCACTTAAAGGGAAATATATAACGTGACCGATTTGTTGCATGCCCATAACGTCCGACTGAGCGATATCTGCCAGAACACCCTTCTTTTTATATCCACTCAAAGACGATTCCCACCCACATCGGGGGCATATTTCCTAATTCTGCTTAGCTTAACACGCGATTGGATAGGGGGTCAAGTTGACCCCCCAAAGGTTTTTCCCAAATGGTTTCCGAACGGTGCGGCGTAGCCGCGCCAAATTTTGCATAGCTGTAGACAATTGAATAGCGGATCGTTTAACATCAACAATTTAGATGTATCTTGTAAGATCGCTAACCTATGGAAGGTCAAAGTCAGGCTATGGTCTCAGAGAAGTCATTTCTAGGGAATCGTTCAATCTGATGCAACAACGGAGAGTTAGACGAAGCCATACATCTCTGAGATGCTTCCTTAGGAAACACAAATATCGAATGAGCAAATTACGTTGACCTAAGGTCAGGTATGAAGGTCAGACCAAGGTCATAACCAACCTGTTGTATTACTCTGGGGCTTGCTGTATGATATAGTTTCTGGTGCTCATTTCGAATTATTGATAGGAGGAACCACATTATTTATCCTCCATGGACCTCTTAGAGGTCAGAATAGGTCATTAACCTAAAATGACACCGGTCAACAGTTCGTTTTTAGTAACATACTGTCTAACCTAATCTTTGTTGCTTATTGAAATGCAAAACTCAGAGCGGTCTTCTATGATTTTTGTCGCAATGACCTTCAAAGGTCAAACAAGGTCACTGACCTTGGATGAGCATGTGATCTTTTGCTTAGAAACAGTTATCTAGGTTCTGGGTCACTTTGGAGACCAATCTGGAATTTGACTTTGTTTGACCTTATTTGACCTGAATGGCCTAGGAATCTCAAACTTTGACCTAAGCGAGTTTACGTACAGGTCAAGACATCCTGTAAATTTATTGTCTCTAGCTTTCTTCGTTCCCGAGATCTCAGGGGGTCAAACTGCCCCCCCCCCCCCACCCGAGCGAAGGGTATCTAGCCGGCCACCCGGGCGCGTGTTAAACGTCGTGAGTAATCGATTCCGAATTAATCAAATCTAAACATCAAGTTTGCAACTTAGCAAGATATTTGTAACTGATCAGGTAAGTCACTAAGGCACAGGGAAAACTAGTTATCACGACACATATTTCTGCGCTGAACATCGGGTGTTACAGCTGTGCAGCTGTGGTAAGTTGTAATTCTCATCTGTCTACTTATCGCACGATTGTGTCCGACATGCTCATAACAGTACGGTTAATGTTCATCTGCTGGAACCCATTCCGTTTTTCAGAGCCAGCCTGCCACACATTCATCAACCAAAACCTGTGGACCTGTCGATCACCGCCAAGCCTGGACCCGCACCCCAATCCCACGAGGTCGACAGCGCTCTGACCGTTGCCTGTCCCGGCCTGGGACGCGGCCGCTCGGCCAACCCCACTCCGCCCGAGCCGCCGGAGCGGGGTCGGCCGGCCGCCGCAGAGCGCGGCTTCACTTCAATCGGCCACTGCACCGCTCCTTTGTGCCCGCCGGCGCCCGATCAATACGTGCACATGTGAGCTGCCGGCCGGCGCGCTCTGTCCTCCCGGACGCCGCTTTTTCGCCGCCCCTGCCATTGACCTGGCTGCTGCACGCGCTGCCCCATATTTTACAGCGCATCGATTACGTTTTTAGGCGGGGAAGTTCAACGGTATACCGACTAATCCGGCCGAGCCGACGGCGCCAGTTGCCGGCTTCGTCCGTGGCGCGGCAGCACCGTCGCGCACGCACTTTCCGACGAGGGGTAGGGGATGGGGCAGGCCGGCGGGTCGAGCGCGGCGCACGACGGCAATGACCCCGGCCAAACAGAGGTGGAGAGCTGGCACCGCCGCGCAGCCGCCAGCAGGCAGCGTTGAGAGAGCCCCAGCGTCTGGCCGGGCTGCAGCTTCAACAGAGCTGTCACGACGATGATAATGACACTGGATGTGCAGACTTTCTACTTCTACTTTCTACATGTCAATTGCACGCCCTGTCAGGAACTTTCTTCGCGTTGTAAGCAAAAGCGAAACACACTGAGATCAGAGATCGTAATAAAGTAATTGGCAAACTGCGTTTCATTCCTAAACTCATGCCACAATTCGGTACGAATGCGAACCAATATTGGTCGTTGGAGTTTTAGTACACGCCGATGGCTGCGGCCGTTTTAGCCCATATCATGCTTGCGGCCTCAGCCCACGAATAATATCGGGTATCGAACATGACATGTACAGATAATGTCATCGTCATAGCTTTGTAAGGGCTGTGGAATTGCCTCATCTGTATCTGCAATGCCATCTTCAAAGATAGCTATTTAACTCCTTGATGATGTGTTTCAACTAAGTCGGAACCCGTGAAGAACGAAGAGTGCCACACACTTTGGGCTGCATACGGCTACTTAAAGGAACTGCCTTAATACATGCTGTTTAATAGTGCTACTCAACAGGAATAGCTTTAACATGCATTCTCAATACAAGTGATTAATTGAGAGGAATAAGTATCTCTTAAAACGACAGGGAACCAACATGAACGTGGCTCTCACGCTATGCACACCAAGGACGCTGGCAATGGAAGCGATACATAAAATGGTGTATTTTCTGCATGCTCATAACGTTATGTAGAGGAAACTTTGTGAACAGTTTTAAAACAATCTGAGCAGTACAGCTGCACCAACAAGAGCAGTTTGAGTCTGTACTTCGGAAGTGTATTCCCACT